ACAATGTGACATTTCTCTTCCCACTGCCTCCCTGATTCCTTTCGTATTTCTTTCCCATCCCATCCTGCCTTCTGTGGTAGATCCCTCCGCAAATGCTGCCCTTTTGATCTCCTCTGGTTGACTGTTCTAAGGAGGTTGTACCTCCTGGATGTTACCGTAGACCCAAGTCTATAAACCCTGTAGGTATGAGCTGAGGAACAGAGATTCGCATGGAGAGCCCTCGGTCACTCAGCAGCACTGTTTATTGAGCACCGGCTGTGTGCCAAGCTCTGGGCTGCCCAGTGGGAACACAGTGGTGAACAGGGCAGACACATATCCACCCCCGGGAGCTCTCGGCCTTGTGAGGGAGACAGTCAAAGGGATCCGCAGACAAGATCACGTCCCGCAGTCACACTGCTTGAGATCACAAAACCAAAACCAAAACCAAACTCACTGCCAGCAACTTGATTCTGACTCATAGCGACCCCCATTGAGTTTCTGAGGCTCTAAATCTTTACGGAAGTAGATGGCCCCCATCTTTCTTCCATGGAGCGGCTGGTGGGTTTGAATCGCTGACCTTTTGGTTAGCAGTCAAATGCCTTATCCTCCACACCACCAGAGCTCTAACTCCTCAGAGCTGCTGTAACCAAAACACCAGCAGAGGGTGGCTTTAACAAACAGAAATCTGTTTTCTCTCAGTTTCAGAGGCTAGAAGTCAAAACTCAGGGCATGGCCTCCAGGGAAATGCTTTCTCTCTGTTGGTTCTGGACTCTTAAAACTTCTGCTCCTGGTCAATCTAAATGTGGCTTGGTGTCTGTCTTTCTCCATCTGTCTGTCTCTCTGCTTGCTAGTTTAATCTCTTTTATAGCTCAAAAAGAGTTTGACTCAAGACACACCCTGCATGAACCCTGCCTCATTCACATAACAAAGACAGCCTATTCCCAGCTGGGAATATAAAACGTCTGAACTACTCTGTAAATTTTCACCCAAATCTGAAAAATTCTAATAACCACAGAAAAAAAAAAAAAAAAAATCGTTTGTCATCCTGCCCCTTCTGACTCATAGCGACCCTGTAGGACAGAGTCCTGTCAGACAGAGTCAACCCTTTAGGACAGAGTAGAACAGCCCCATAGAGTTTTCAAGGCTGGAAATCCTTATGGAAGCAGACTATCTCATCTTTCTCCCAAGGAGTGGCTGGTGGGTTCAAACCACCAACCTCTTGGTTAGCAGCCAAAGGCTTTTTAGTTTTCATTGTGATTTGGGTGAAAGTTTACAGAGCAAATTCATTTTCCATACAGCAGGTCATACACCTTTTGTTAAATGACATTGACTGCAATCCCCATTCGTAACGACTGTCTCCTCACTTCCTCCCCGTGGTTACCTTTTCCACGCATCTCTTTCCTGTGGAATCCCACCCTCTGAGGTGTCTCTCTGTGCAAATCCTGCCCTTCTGATCTCCCACGGTTGATCGTTTGTACCTATTGATGTACATGTTCACCTTACACACCTGTGTGCTGTGTGGCTGGAAGCCCGGAGTGAGTTCAGTTAGCAGGCAAGTACTTCTAACCACTGCACCACCACCAGAACTCCTACCACACGCGTGTTGTTGTTGTTAGGTGTCACCGAGTCGCCTCCGACTCAATGACTCTGTGCACAACAGACTGAAACACCGCCCGGTCCTGTGCCAACCTCACTCTCCCCGCTATATCTGAGCCCATCATTGCAGCCACTATGTCAATCTATGCCACAGGCATAGAAGTTAGGTTTTACAACACATATTTTTGGGGGACATAATTCAACCTGTAACAGATACCCTGAGAAAAGTAAGCCAGGGCAAAGAAGGTGGAGGCAGATAGGGTGGGTGGGCAGGAAAGGCCCCTTTGAGGAGGTGACTCCAGTACTGCATAGGCCTGCGTGGAACAGCATGTCAGACAGAGGGAACAGCAAGTGCAAAGCCCCAAGGTGGGAATGTAAATGGAGTTTGTGAATGACCAGGTGGCTGGAGGGAAGGGAGCAAGAGGGAGAGGGTGGGAGATGAGGGCTGAGAGGGAAGGTGGGGGACAGACACCGCAGGGTCTCGGACCCAAGGGGAGGAAGTGTGGGTTTTACTTTTACTACAATGACAAACGTTTTCTGGTTGGTGGGTTTTCAAGTGCGAAGTTGGCAATAAGCATTTCATTTCATTTTCTTGTGGTGAAAATACATACACAACAAAGCAGGCGCCGTGTGAACGCTGTCTACGTGTGCAGTCACTGAGCACTGCTGACCTTCAAGGGGCGACCATTCTTGCCATCCTTTTCCATTCATTCCACCACCATTAACTCAAACTCGGCGCACCTTCAGCGAAAACTTGTGACAGCAACACTGTGAACTTGAACTACAGATGAGCATTTTCACGAGGCTTTTAGAATTTCCCACCGGTGGCTCTGTGGAAGCAGCAGGCCTTTGGGTAGACTGCCGGAGCGGCCCGTGCCACACAGGGGACGGGACCGCGGGACCGGAGGAAAGGAACCACTCGAGGTCTGGTTAGGACAGTGACACACCGGGTGAGCTAGTGGCTTCGAGGCGGATCTGGGGGAAAACTGAGGAGGCAAGCCCCCAAGCCCGAGCCTTTCACACCAGTTAAGAGTTCCCATCTACTCTTCTCTGACTCACGTCCTTTTTTGTTTTCTACTCTGATTCAAGGAGCTCTGGTGACGTAGTGCCTAAGGCATTTGACTGCTAACCAGAAGGCTGGCGGTTCAAACCCACCAGCCACTCCTCAGAAGAAAGATGGGGCAATCTACTTCTGTAGTGATACTGCCTCGGCAACCCAAGGAGGAGTTGCTATGAGTCGGATCCGACTCAACGGCACGTAACAACAGAACAGCACAACAACAACAACACAACAGCAACTCCGATTCAGAGTAGAACTGTGGTCCAGAGAGTTTTCATGGCTGTGTCTTTTCACAAATAAGATTGCCAGGCCTTTCTTCCAATGCACCTCTGGGTGGATTCGAACCATCAGCGTTTTGGTGTTTAATCATTTGTGCCACCCGAGGACGAGACTTAGGCTCCCAGTCCCATTTACTGAGCCGAAGAAGACAGGATGCAGCTATGCAGGTCACTTCCTGTTTGCACTCTGTAGTCTGAGAGGGGAGGGGCTGGGAAAGGGACATCCCTTCCTTGTTTCCGCCCAGCAGAGTCTCCGGTGGCCTCCTGTGACCTTGGCCTCTGCAGGGCACACTGAGGTGCAGCCCATCGGGACCCTGCTCTCTGGCAGCAGCTGAGAGGAGGTGACAAGCTCCTGTTTATTCCTCATCAAGTTGCCTAGTTGAGATGACAGGCGTGTGGCCAGATGTCGTAGTGTGGGTCCAGGGTAGCGGTCCTGCTGTGATAGGGGCAGCCCTGGCAGCTTGCATGTGGCTCAGAAGTCATATCACCTGGTCCTTACCACAAGGAAAGAGTGACTTGGGTTTACTTGCCAGGGAACTCCCAGAGGCGACACATGGTTATGGGGTGTGAGGAGGCATTCGCGAATGGGGGTTAGTGTGGTGGACAGGTCAGCCTGGCGCCTCTGGACAAAGATACGGAAGATGTTGCTGGTTTAGGGAACAGTGCGTTCTTGAGAGCGAGCTCAGGCTGCAGGGGAGGGTGGGGGCAAGGCTGAGGGGCTGGGACAGGGTCATGAGGGCTCTTGGGAGCCAGGGGAGAGCCGGGACGGAGGGCACGGTGAGTTCTGGGTGTAGAAGGACCCTGCAGGGCATGTGGGACATGGGCTGGAGGGTGAGGGGAAGGCCACAGCTGGCCGAGAGAGTGGAGAGGAGAGATGGAGTTACAGTCAGAAGGGGGTGAGGATGGCACTGGGGGTTTGGCCTGTGATGGGGTGGTGCTGGGACTCCCAAGATGGTGAACCTAGGAGGAGGCACTGAGCGCAGGGTGGGACTTGTTGAATGACCTGGAAGTGTCTAGGGAAGGTGGAGACACAGTTCTATGGCTCAGAAAACGTATTAGAAGACAGTTCCCATTTGCAGAAGGAGCCTTGGTGGTGCAGTGATTAAAACACTCAGCTGCTAACCAAAAAGTCGGTGATTTGAACCCACCAGCTGTTCCACGGAAGAAAGATGAGGCAGTGGTTTTGTAGAGAGTCCAGCCTCAGAAACCATGTGGGGCAGTTCCACTCTGTCCTCTAGGGGCGCTGTGGGTCAGAATGGACTCCAGGGCAGTGGGTGTGGTTTGGGCTTTGCTTCTGTGAAGATTGACAGCCTTGGAGACCCTGTGGGGCAGTTCCACTCTGTCCTCTAGGGGCGCTGTGGGTCAGAATCAACTCCAAGGTAGTGGGTTTGGTTTGCCACTTGTTTCTGTAAAGATTGACAGCCTTGGAACCCAGTTCTATCTGTCCTATAGGATCACAATGACTCCATACCCCATAATATCACACACATTTGGTGGCTGAAACCACAGCAGTGGTTGAGACATCTCTTCTTGAGATAAACTGATATCCCAGGAAACTGGGAGGGGGAGAGACTAAAACAGGACAGGTGGGGGCTGCTTCCCCTCGTGTCTGGGGGTGGGTCTGTGGTTCTCCAATCCCTGGCTTGGCTGAGCCATGACCACACCTCCTTGTCCTCAGAGCCCTACAGCCCCGCCGTGTGGGTGATGATGTTCGTCATGTGCCTCACCGTGGTCGCCGTCACTGTTTTCATCTTCGAGTACCTCAGTCCCGTCGGCTACAACCGCAGCCTGGCCACGGGCAAGCGTGAGTCCCCTTCCTTCTCCACCTCACCTCCAAGTCCCCTGACCACACCTGGAACTACATTTCCCAGCAGCTCCTGGGACAGAGCTATAGCTTTTTTTGGGGGGGAGGGCGGGTCAAAGGCCCCAGGGGCCAATGGGAATTGTGGTCCTTTCCGCTTCTTCATTGAGCATGTCCGCTTTCTGGTGCCCTGCAGGTCCTGGCGGCTCAACCTTCACCATTGGGAAGTCCATCTGGCTGCTCTGGGCCTTGGTGTTCAATAACTCGGTGCCTGTGGAGAACCCACGGGGGACCACCAGCAAAATCATGGTGCTGGTGTGGGCCTTCTTTGCTGTTATCTTCCTCGCCAGCTACACAGCCAACCTGGCCGCCTTCATGATCCAGGAGGAGTACGTGGACACCGTGTCTGGGCTCAGTGACCGCAAGGTGTGTGTGCTTGGTGTGTGTGGGGGATGCAGGCAGAGGTCACACACGTGGCTACAGGAGATCAGGGGGGAAATCCTGGAAGGTCTCTTTCAGGGTGAAGTTCCAGAGCGGGGGGAAATGGAATGTTCTAGAAGGTAGCGCTCTGGTGGCCTAGTGCCTAAGGCACTTGACTGCTAACCAGAAGGCTGGGGGTTCAAACCCACCAGCCACTCCTCGGAAGGAAGGTTGGGCATTCCTACTTCCATAGTGATACTGCCTGGGAAACCCAAGGAGGGGTCGCTATGAGTCGGGTCCGACTTGACAGCATACAACAACAGAAGGTAGACTATATTTCAAATGAACTATTTAAATATTTCTACTAGACAAAGGGAGCATGTCACACCGTGCCAAGGCAGCAATGCAAAATGGGATATTGTAAACAAGTGCTTCTCCCAAGCTATGAGGAAGGGCTGTTGTTGTTGTTGTTGTTAGGGTCCGACCCAGAGCGACCCTATGTACAGTAGAAACCTAGGAAAGGCTAGATTTTGGAATTTCTGATCAATCCACTGGAAACCAATCAACATGCTTGTAAAATCCGATCAGAAATGAGTTTCAAAAACAATAAAATAAAATTTAAAACCAACACTTAGGAAAAACTCAAACCGCAATTTTTTTATTTCTTACACTCAAGGGGCGTAAAATCGTCCCATCAAATCGCTTTCGATGTTCACTCTCCATTTTTGTGCTCAGCTGGTTGCGGGTCACAGTTTGCTCAGGAACTAGTTAGTGGTCCACAGAAGGAGCTCTGGTAGCATAGTGCCTAAGGCATTTGTCTGCTAACCAGAAGATTGGGGGTTCAAACACATCAGCCACCCCTGGAAGGAAGGCTGGGCCATCTACTTCTGTAAACATTAACTGCCTCACACAATGGGGGTTGCTATGAGTCGGAATAGACTCCATGGCACTTAGTTTGAGTGAGTGATCTACATACCAACCACATTTGGAGACTAAACTGGTTAACTGGGTGTGGTGACCAATTAGTAGATTAAGAAATTGATGCAATGGATTGCAACAAGCATTTTTTTTTTTAATGGATTGGAATAGACTAGAATACAAAATATATTGACTGCATCTTATGTAATAAGGATGAGTATTGTCTTCTGAAACTTTTGTTTTAGTCATTTGTATGCGTGGCATCCAGCCAGCCAGCACACACCAGTGCGGCTGTTTCTATTGGCAAAAGAGGGAATTAATTCCGAACTCTTTGGTAAATTAGTAACTGTCGCCAGCCCCAACTGTGCCAGCCCTCCCCCCATACATCCTAAGATCCAGCGAGTTAAGGGCCTGGAACATGGGGGCCTCCAGGACACCACCCTTCTGCAGATCAGCTCTGTAGCCAGTGCCCTTTCTGATGGGAAGGTGATCAGGCCATGTTACCAGAAAAAGAAAAAGAAAAAGAAACCCACCAAATGCACTGCCATTGAATTAATTCCTACTCACAGCGCCCCTAGAGGACAGAGTGGAACTACACCACAGGGTCTCCAAGGCTGTCAATCTTCACAGAAGCAAAGCCCAAACCAAAACCACTGCCCTGGAGTTGATGCTGGCTCACAGCGCCCCTAGAGGACAGAGTGGAACTGCACCACAGGGTCTCCAAGGCTGTAAATTTCTGGAAGCTGTCATCTTTCTCCCACTGGTGGCTAGTGGGTTCCAAATGCTGGCCTTTTGGTAAGCAGCCTTAACTACTACCACCAGAGTTCTTTCAGGCCATATTCTAAAAAATGAAACTTACTGCCATTGAATTGATTCCAATTCATAGCAACCCCAGTTGGGTTTCTGAGACGGTAAATCTTTACGGAAGTAGATTGCCCAGTCTTCCTTTTGAGGAGTGGCTGGTGGGTTTGAACCTCCAGCCTTCTGGTTAGCAGTCAGGTGACTTAGGCACTATGCCACCAGAGCTCCTTTCAGGCTATACTAGTGGTTAAATAATATTCCCATTGTATATGTGTATCTATGTATAATCCACCTGGTTAAACGCTCCACTACTAACAGAGAGGTTGGCAGTTTGAATCCACTCCAAAGTGCCTCAGTGGGAAGGCCTGGGAGTCTGCTTTTGGAAGATCATGTTGTTAGCTGCTGTCCACTTGGCCTTCAAACACTGGGTAGGTTCGAACTGCCAGCCTTTCAGTTAGCAACCAGTTGCATACAAACCACTTGCACCACCAGGCACCTTCCAAGTGATCATGTTGTTGTTGTGTGCCGTCGAGTCGGCCCCGACTCATAGCGACCCCTCCTTGGGTTTCCGAGGCAGTATCACTACAGAAGTAGGATTGCCCAACCTTCCTTCTGAGGAGTGGCTGGTGGGTTTGAACCGCCAGCCGTCTGGTTAGCAGTCAAGTGCCTTAGCCACTATGCTACCAGAGCTCCCCCAAGTGATCATAGTCATTGAAAACTCCGTGAAGCACAGTTCTCTGAAACCCCTGGGGTCACCATGAGTTGGAATCTGCTCATCGTCAACTGATTTATATATACATGTCTAAGGAGCTCTCTGGCATAGTGCCTAAGGCCAACCAGAAGGCTGGCGGTTCAAACCCACCAGCCACTCCTCGGAAGACTGAGCAATCTACTTCCGTAGAGATACCGCCTCAGAAACTGAAGGAGGCCACGCAGTAAGTCGAACTGACTCCACGGCAGCGAGTTTGGTACGGTTTTTTTAGGTTGTTAGGTTCCGTTGAGTCGGTTCCAATATATACGACCCTGTATGCAACAGAATGAAACGTTACTCTGTTCTACAGATAAAATCTACGCATGTGCGTGCTGGCTGCGGAGTAACGTTCCTACTGTGGGTCACAATTAAGATTGATAAAACGCTTCTGAACTGTGGTTGTCGGCCATTGGACAGGGAGTCTAAGTCGATATGTCCCCCAGGGGGCACCCTAACAAGTCTTCATTCGGCCCCAGTTCCAGCGGCCCCAGGAGCAGTACCCACCTCTGAAGTTTGGGACGGTGCCCAACGGATCAACGGAGAAGAACATTCGCAGCAACTACCCCGACATGCACAGTTATATGGTGCGCTACAACCAGCCCCGCGTGGAGGAAGCGCTTACTCAGCTGAAGGCAGGGTCAGTGCTGACAGACCCGCGGAGGGCGATGGGACTGGGGGAGGAGTCAGACACCGGGAGACGGCTAGCTGGAGGGGGCGGGACAGGGAAGGAGCCAGACCCTGGGAGAGGATGTGGTTGGGCAGGGGGCGGGACCGGGGGAGGAGCCAGACCCTGGGAGAGGTTGGGACTTAGTGGGGGGGGCGGGACCAGGAGAAGGATCAGACCCTGGGAGAGGATGGAGCTGGGCAGGGGGCGGGACCAGGGGAGGAGCCAGACCCTGGGAGGTGATGAGCGGGGGACGGGGCTGAGGGAGGAGCCAGACTGGGAGAAAAAGCGGGTCGGTGGGGGGGCGGGACCAGAGGAGGATTCAGACCCTGGGAGAGGGTGTGGTTGGGCAAGGGGCGGGACCGGGGGAGGAGCCAGACCCTGGGAGAAGATGTAGCTTGGAGCTGGAGAGGCCTCAGGGTTCAGCATAAACGTCGGGGGAGCCCAGGGTGGGTCAGGTCGAGGCCACAGGGAGTGGGAGTGGACTGCCCTCTCCCGGGAGTAGGGTCACTGATGTTTTAGGGGCAGGGTACACACTAGATACACTCAGTGTTCTAGGTCCAGACTGGCAGGGTTCAAATTTGTGGCTTGGTTGTGTGACCTTGAGCGAGTTACTCCACCTCTCTGAGCCTGTTTCCTCTGTAAAATCAGCGTCACAGTAGGGCCCACCGTGTTGGTCTGGTGAGGACTGAATCGGTTAGTATGTGCCACACAAGGATGACTGATATACTGCGGGCGTTTGGTGCTCTTATTATTAGGGTTATCATTATGTCTGAACTCACTGCAATCGGTATCTGGGTGATGGCTTCTTTTACTTTAGTTTCCCAAATCATCAGAAAAGTGTTAAGGTCAGTGCCTAAAATGTAGTGGGAGATTACCACAAAGCTTAAAGAAAAAAAAAAAAAAAAAAAGCCAAGGCAAAAGGCTTTAACTCCATGTCCTTTATTTAGCTACTCAACCCGCATTGATTTTCTTAGCCTCTTAGGGTACTATGCAAGAAGCCCTGGTGGTGCAGTGGTTAAGTGCTCAGCCGCAAACCAAAAAGTCCGTGGTTTGAACCCACCAGCCACTCTGAAGTAGAAAGATGAGACAGTCCGCTTCCAATAAGATGACAGACAGCCTTGGAAACCCTGTGGTGCAGTTCCATTCTGTCCTCTAGGGGCGCTGTGGGTCAGAATCCACTCCAGGGCAGTGGGTGTGGTTTGGGCTTTGCTTCTGTGAAGATTGACAGCCTTGGAAACCCTGTGGTGCAGTTCCACTCTGTCTTCTAGGGGCGCTGTGAGTCGGAATTGACTGGATAGTAGTTTTTTTTTTTCTATTGCGGTTCTACTCTATGCTGGGCAGTTACAGACGACAAGAATTCCTGCCCTCAGGTAGCTTAGAGCCTGTTGTTAGGTACCACTGAGTCGCTTCCAAGTCATCGCGACCCGGTGTACAACAAAACAGAACGGTGCCTGGTCGACACCATCCTCACAATGCTTGCTGTGTTTGAGCCCATGGTTGCAGCCACTGTGTCAGTCCATCTCGTTGGGGGCCTTCCTCTTTTCCGTTGACCTTCTTCTTCACCAGCATGATGTCCTCCTTCAGGGACTGGTCCCTCCTTATAATAAGACCAAAGTACGTGAGATGAGATCACAACATCGTCACGTCTAAGGAGTTTCCAGCTGTATTTCTTCTTCCATTTTTAATTTTTATTGTGATGTGGGTGAACGTTTACAGAGCAAATTCATTTTCCATACAGCAGTTCATGCACATTTTGTTTCGTGACATTGACTGCACTTCCCCACAGTGTAACAGCTGCCTTCCCACTTCCTCCCCGTGGTCACCCCTTCCCTGGGTCCTTCCCTCCCACGCACTCCTGCCCCCGGAGCTATCTCCCTGTGCAAACACTGCCCTTCTGTTCTCCCGTGATTGATCACTCTAAGGAGTGTATCTACCTGATGTGAACATTCACCCCATAGGCTTGTCTGTTGTTTGGCTGGAAGCCACAGGAGTGAGTTCAGTTCCAGACCCAAAGGGTAAGTAAGGGCCGTAGTCTCCAGGGTCTCACCGGACTCCATCAGATCAGCAAACCTGGTCTTTGAAGCAGGAGTGAGCTTGGCTTGTTGGTGGGCCAGCGACAAAGCCAGTGTGGCTGGAGGACAGACAGGTCAGAGAAGAGAGTGGGGAGGGGAGGGTGCGTGGCGGGGCCCTGCTCAGGGCTGGATTTTATTGCAAGGGCCACGAGGAGCCAGTGGGGGAAGGGAGGGGGGTCTGATTTCCATTCCTAAGTGTTCACTCTGGGTGGACGGAGGGAAACGTGTGTGGAACCAGTGTGGAGGTCACCACGGCGTCCAGGCCATCCCCTCCCTTCCTCTGCTCATCCCTCAAATAGCCACCCGGCACCAGGTCTTTTTCCTCCTCTGTCTTGATTAGAATTGTTCGGCTACAAGGAGTGAAACGCCCTCGATCAATTTCAACTGCATCTGGTTTGAGTACAGTGGGTGGGTTAGCAGCCCTGGCGGCACAGTGGTTCAGTGCTCACCTGCAAACCGAGAGGTCAGCAGCTTGAACCCGCCAGCCACTCTGCAGGAGAAAGATGAGGCAATCTGCTTCTATAAAGGTTGCAGCTTTGGAAACCCTAGGGGCTGGTTCTACCCATCCTGTCAGATCCCGAGGCGTCAAAATCGACTTGACGGCAACGGGTTTGGCTTTGCTTTAGCCCTGGGTGGCACACATGATTAAGTACTGGACTAGGAACAAGTTGGCTGGTTGGCAGTTCAAACTCACCCAGAGACACCTGGGAAGAAATGCCTGGCAATGTGCCTCTGCAGAGACGGTGCCCAGTTCTGTCTGTAACCCACGAAGTCGCCGTGAGTCAGCATCCACCTGATGACAGTGGATGCCGTGTAGACGACTCATCTCCTGTTGCTGCTCTGACAGTTATAACAATAAACTCAGTGCCTTAAGCCGCCAGCCGTCTGCCATTGTGTCCTGCTGCGGTGGCCGGTGGTTGGCACGATGCCGGAAGCCACGGCACCAGTATTTCAAACGCCAGCAGGGTCAGCCACGGTGGACGGTT